TTCCACTTGACTGAGTTGACTAGGCAACCGGGGGAAGGCGTATAGCTCAAAACGCAGGGATCGTTAGGTTCGAGCTTAACATCTAAAAGCTGGACGGTGTCGCCGCCACTCGCAGCGAACAACCACGGCGGCGGATCTCCGTGGCTCATTATGTTGCTCGGGAGAAGGAAGGTTTTTTCCCCACGAAAATGGATTAGGATAAAATCTGGTTAAATTTTTATGAGAAATAAATTTAGGCGACCTGTATTTGGTAGTTAATTAGCAGGGAAATGTAAACCCTACGGGAAAGAGCAAAAATTCAAATCAGATTTTTTGTTTTGAAAATTGAGTGGAACCTTTATAAAAACATTTTTTTCCATCCTTCCTATCTCTCTTATGCTATTTCTTTCCCTTACTTCATTTTATAAATTTTATGAATTCTTTCATCTTTATCTCTCTGAATTTAGAGGTGGGTGAAAATTTGTCTTTTTTCTAACAGACAAATAGTATCATTTAATATATATATATATCTGGAAAGTGGGTATCAGTCCTACCTCCCAAAAAAAAGTTGGAGTCCCAAACTAAACGACGTCGTTTTCGTCTAAAAAACACAGCCCTGCTCAAAAATCCAGCCTTTGCTCCTCAATCATCTCTCAAAAATCCAGCCCCTGCTCCTCAATCATCTCCATCTCCTTCTTTGCCCCTTCTGCAATCATCTCCATCGCCTCCTCACCTCTTCACCCAAAAAGCTCACCAGTAATGTCACCCCCTCTGCAATCATCTCCATCTTCCCCTCCAAAGTGTTGGCAGTACAATGGGGATATTAAGAGGAAAAAACAAATTCAAAATTCAACATGAAACTGAACGAAACCGAGAGGCAAGACGAGCAACACAACATCAGAAACAATCAAAACCATCATTAATTAGCCCACGCAAGAAAAACAAATTTTGTCTGGTATGGGCTGTTTTTTTTTGTAGGTGAGGCAAGGACAGGGCTGTAGCAAGCAGGAGTGCAGATGCGCAGGATTGGGGGCGCAGAGTGCAGGAGGCGCAGCAGGGTGTAGCAGGGCGCGGCCTCGGGTGCAGCAAGGCGCAGGCTCAGGTGCAGCAAGCGAGGGGGCGCAGCAGGGCTTGATCGCCTTTGATGGCGGCTAGCTGAAATGAAGGCTCGGGAGATGAGAGAGAAAAGGCCCAAAGTCAGGGTGAGGAAGAAGATTTTGGCGGGGTAATGGAGATGATTGCAGAAGAGGCAAAGGCAAAAGAGG